CAGCCTTCCTCAACCCCAGGGCCCTGGCCGACCTCCGGTGTAAACTTGTAGGTGACCTTGAGCCGAGGTCAAAAGGATTTGTCGATGTTTTGCTCTTCCGTTTGCGGTCCTCTGGACAAGTAAGTATATATACTTTCCAGTAGTGATGGATACCCTTTGACAGAACAAATTTCACTTCTGTTTTTTTTTTTGGGGGGGGGTGCGCACTCAGGAACCAACCACATTCATCCACGAAACCCTGATAAATTGCGGCATCGTGTTCCTCTTGTTTGCAACATTTACTGCATTTGATGTATGCTAGCTAACTGCTCTCCTTGCAGTCCGCCAAATGAACGGAGCCAAGCAATGTGCACGGGATGTTGTATTAGGAGTGTGTCACACATGACGCAGTGGTTCACTTGATGATCTTGTGACAAACGCATGCCTCTCGGTTGCAGGAAGTAATTCGTATTGAAATACCGCTGGGAGGTGTCCACAACTATTGTCTCACTTGCAAGGTGCAAACCCCAGGCTGCCATAGTCAAAAGTCAAAAGTGAATTTATTTTTTCGAGGACCCTCCATATCGGTGTTTTCCTTTGGTTTCCCCTAGAACCAGCCAAACAAGAACCCACCATTGTTTTGCTTTTGCTTGTTTTTTGGAAAAAACATCATTCTGACGCAACATCTACCCCTGCAAAGCAAAAATGACACACCCCGCTCGCGCCCTCGGCAGGTTGTAAAACGTGCAGCCAAGGCGCCGGGAGCCGCTTGGCATCTGTGTGGCCGCAGGGCTCGAACCAGTCCCCTTCCTTGGCCGAACGGTTTTCATGAGCCCCACCTTGGCCCCGCCGTTGCGAGCCATACCTCGTGGGATGACCATGAACACCTGGGAGCATTGGACAACCACTAGAAGGATGACAGTGAGAATTGTGTTGCACATGGGACAAGTTAACCATGGTCAAAACTGGGGGCCGAAGGGAATATTAATCAACCAACAAGTACATGCCCTTTGAATCCCTACAAAGGCGCATCCTATGCTCAGAAGCGATTGTTGCTCTCTCTTTCATATTCACCTCTTGTCCAAATACAAATGGACAAGGGTCCTTTTCAAGAAGATGGTAGTCTTCCAATCCTTTCCACTTGCTTGGCTGCTAGAAAAGGCGGGCCTTGTTCATAGCTCTTTCCCCTGGTACCAACTGCCTTTCATGAGTAAATTCAAGTGGTTGGGGACTACTGCCTGGAAGGGATGGGATAGTTGGACGCTGGAAACATAAAAGCCCCCTCACCCTAAAACGGTTCCTCGGTTCCTGGGACCTAAGAGGAAAGGGAGGCTCGTAAGAAAGTGTTGCGAGCTTTCTGAGAGCGTGGGAGGTCCAAATTTCTCCAGGGTAAATCTAGCTTCTCCACATGTCAGCCTGGAATGGTCCCAGGAACTTTCCGACGAGCAGTCCTAATCCCTTCCAGATTTGGCCCATTCCCTGAGTTACCATGGCCGTTAACTCAGTTGTTCAGTGACCCTGGAAAACCTTTTTGCGAAAGACCAATTTAGTGGGGCAGGCAGAAAAAAAAAGAGGGAAAAGGGTGCCACTGGACAACTGAGTTAAGGTTACCCCGCTGGGAAGACCATTTCAACGGCCGGGGGAAAACCTCGCGTCGCATTCTGCCAAGCCTTCAGCCTAGCTTCGAGGATTGGCAAGCCGTGCTGGATGGCCTCCTCGGCAAAAGGGGGGGGGGGGTGCTCCAAACATGCCGGGGGTGTTGGGAGTTGGGCGGGTGGGAGGGGAGGTGGGGGTGGGGTGGGGAGGGTGGGGAGGGTGGGGAGGGTGGGGGGTGGGGAGGGTGGGGAGGGTGGGGAGGGTGTAGAGGGTGGGGAGGGTGGGGTGGGAAGGTGGGGGAAGGTGTGGGGAGGTGGGGAGGAGGTGGGGAGGTCGGGAGGTGGGAAGGTGGGGAGGTGAATGGGCTCAAAACACTTTCTTATCTAAAGATAATATATATAGATATATATATATATGTGTGTGTGTGAACCATTTATACATTTTTTTCAAACACCATAGCCCATAGCCCCCATATGCTTACATTCCTGAGCAGGCAAAGTGGCCAGCATCTTGCACAAAAAACAACAGCTTTATAGTTCAACAGCTAGACACATCAGAATTTAAGATTGAAATTGTTTGTTTTTGCCGGCTTAACACAATAGAATTTAAGTTTGAAATTGTTTTTCCAGCTTAATGCATCACATCACAGCTGGTCACTTTATAGAGTCAGGGAAAGCAAAAATGGCAAAGGTAATGGCAAGTCTGGCCACCCATTTCTATGAAAACAGCTTTGAATCCTTGGTCCATGCTTAATCATGCTGATTTCTTGTAAGATTCTGACTTCTCCATGTATCTGTTGGTCAATTACAATAGGCGCTTGTAAGATTCTGACTTCTCCATGTATCTGTTGGTCACCACCAATTGGTGGCCAGTGGTCAGGTAGGGGCTTTCTACAAGGGCTGCATTGGATTTTGGCCAAGAAAACACATCATGTTGCCAGCTCTGGTCATGTTGCTTCATTCATGTCTGGCTCTTCATTCATGTCTTGCTCTTCGCCACTCCCAGCCATCCAATGCAGCCAAGTCAGGGCGACCAAAAAGCTGGGTGCAAGTTCTCACACCCAAGTTCTTTCTGATCTGCCCAATCCTGTACAAGGCAGCTGTCCGAGAAGGGAGCCCCTGCCCCTGCCAGTCCTGACCCTTTCCACTCATGTTGGGTTTAAAAACCCTTGCCATGCGTGATCCCAGATCTCAGAGCATTGGATCTTCCAGTGCTGCGTTAGCAGGTAGCACTTGGAGAACCTCTTATGCTCCTGCTCAAGAATGTAAGCCCTTTTTTTTGCCAGGCTGTTCTCGGCACAGGGCAAGATGATGGGGGTCAAGCCCTGCTCCTGGGGGGGGAGGCGCTCCACTACCCCCCCACCCATCTTTGGGGGTTGCACTCCAGCTCCAGCCATAGGTGTGGGGGGTGGCACAGGGCGGCCCCTGCTCCAGCGTCCCCCCTTTCAGGCCCTCCAGCCCTCACTGCAGCGGGGGTAGAACCTGTATGGAAACAGGTTCTTGACCCCCCCTTTCCAGATCTCCTCCTGCAGGGGCAAAAGGCACCTCCCCCTGTGGGGTCCAGGAGGCAGGATGGCCAAGCCCACCTTGGTGCCTTGGCTGCTCTTAACTGTCTGTCTGTCTGTCTGTCTGTCTGTCTGTTTGTCTGTCTGTCTAGGGTGGGGAGGGTTGGGGAGGGTTGGGGAGGGTTGGGGAGGGGTGGGGGTGGGAAGGTGGGGAGGAGGTGGGAAGGTGGGAAGGTGGGGAGGGTGGGGTGGGGAGGGTGGGGGGGGTGGGGGGTGGGGAGGGTTGGGGAGGTGGGGAGGTGGGAAGGTGGTGGGGAGGTGGGAAGGTGCGGAGGAGGTGGGAAGGTGGGAAGGTGGGGAGGGTGGGGAGGGTGAGGGTTGGGGAGGTGGGAAGGTGGGGAGGAGGTGGGAAGGTGGGAAGGTGGGGAGGGTGGGGAGGGTGGGGAGGGTGGGGGAGGTGGGAAGGTGGGGAGGACGTGGGAAGGTGGGAAGGTGGGGGAGGGTGGGGAGGGTGGGGAGGGTGGGAGGGTGGGGAGGGTGGGGAGGGTTGGGGAGGGTTGGGGAGGGTTGGGGAGGGGTGGGGAGGTGGGAAGGTGGGGAGGGTGGGGAGGGTGGGGAGGGTGGGGAGGGTGGGGAGGGTGGGGAGGGTGGGGAGGGTGGGGGTGGGGAGGGTTGGGAAGGTGGGGAGGAGGTGGGAAGGTGGGAAGGTGGGGAGGGTGGGGAGGGTGGGGAGGGTGGGGAGGGTGGGGAGGGTTGGGGAGGGTGGGAAGGTGGGGAGGTGCGGGGGTGAGGGGGGGTGGGAATCTCCGCAACTCTTGGACTCCCAGTGCCTCGTTCAAGTCACAAGCGACGTTTCTGACAGCTCCAATCACTAAAGAAAGGCAACAGCTGCACAGCTGAAACCTTACAATGGGCTTTCAAGAAGCCAAACGATGTCTCAAAGCCCCTGTCCAAAAGGCAAGTAGATTGGCAAAAGGGGTTTGTGTACTTCCATGTTTGGCAGAGTAAAAACAGTATGGGCATGCTCAAACGCCATCGCGACCTGAACAGCGGCCAGTTGTATTAGGCTTCCATTGGTTTCCCCAAGGTAGATCCGTTCCCCTGAGTCTAAGTCCCGCATGGGGCACGTTTTCCCTTACCCCTTAGGGTCATCGACAAACTGGCGCTTCGAATAGGGGCTCCGGACTCCTACAACTGGTTGCCTTCTGGTTTTCCTTCAGCCAACAGCGCATGGTCGATAGAAGGGGGAACCCTGCGATCTCACAGTTTGCCACTTTTGGAGGTGACATCTTCAGGTTCTGAAGAGACAAAAACTCTCGCCCAGCTAGTCCCTGCGCTTGTGGCTTTGCACATCTCCCTTGGCACGTAGGGAATGAAACGGGCCCGCGCTTTCTTTTAGGTTTGCGCAGGGTCAGTTGCAACATAGTAGTGGGAATGTCCAATGGATCCAACATTCATGGCATTTCCAAATTCCACTCAAAGGCAGCCGGCCCGTGCAATTATCAAGTGCCAAAAAAGATGCCTTTTTTCCCAGGGATGGGGTTGAGGGTATTTGTTTTCTGCTCACTTGCCCAAAAGACCTGGAAAGAAAAGGTTAACCTTTTGAGGTCATGACTAAAAATAGACCAAACCCGGAAAACTAAAAGGTCAAAAGGTCGGCTTTGGGCAAGTAAGTCCGTGGTCTAGAAGGGTGAAAAAGCATGGGCAGGCCGAAACGAAACCACTCAATTTCGGGAAGACAAACCTTTGTTGGGGGGTCAAACTACGTATCTCATTTTGCCCAACCAACCCTGCTCACACAACCAAAAACAACTTCTAACTTCTCAGAACCAAACTGAAACCATTTTACAGCCAAGCTGGGCAGCTACGTAGGCACCTATGCAATGCGTACAACCCTCGCCCTTCATGGATCTGGAGCGGCTTTATCGCCCACGAGTGTCAACAAAATGACGCTGGCTAAACCCGCCCCAAGAGGGGAATCCCCGAAACAAACGACACGCCCAACTGGATATTTGTATGATTTGTTCGACCGCCGAAACATACCCTTTAATTGGGTCTGTTTTATGGAAGGTCATTTCGAGGATGTCACTTTAAGAGATGCAGTTTGAGGGGTGCCAACGTCTCCTGCATCTCTCGGTCCGCCATCAGCTCGCTCAGCACGTCCTTGACGTTGTCGCTGCCCAGCACTGTGCGGCTGTTCAGGTCACCTGACATGGGGCCGAAACCTTACAGCGGGCCTCACTGTCTGAAAAACCGGGTGGCTCTTCAATCGCATGTTTCTTCAATTGTTTAGGGTGTTTTGCAACTATTGATCATTTTGTTCCTTTGATGACGGTTGCTTTGCAATCGAACAGGGGAGGTTTCAATTCATCAGGGGGGGTCCATTGTCTTTTACAGTTGATCTGCGCGGTTGTTCAACGAATCAGGAAAGCGCTTCAATTGATTAGGGTGGTTTGACATTGACATGAGTGGCTTTCGATTGAATAAGGTTGAAACCTGGCGAATATTCTTGGAACAAACTATTGTTGTGCACAATCCGACTGCAGACACAACGAGATGAGCACTCTGTTTTGGAGGCGTCCGTCCTCGTGCCTTTGCTGCATGGCTTCTGCCAAGCAAAGCATCCCCAATTTCGACCCAGATGCGTGTCTGCGAGTCCCCCCTTTCGGTCCCTCGTGCGGCGATCGGCCGCGATCGGCCTTGGAGCAGCAGCAGCGTGTTGTTGTCCAGGAGGCCTTGACGGAAGGCCCTGCGAAGCACTTTGCGCAGGGTCCTGGACACTTTCGACGCTCATGGCTTGGAGCGGTCTTGGAGCTTCAGAGGATTTCAGAGGGCTTCAAATCCCCAAGCCGATCCAAACCACTTAAGGGTGACCTAGCTCAAACCCATAGCCGAAAATCCGCAGAGTGAGGCTTTTGGATCTGATGATGACTCGCTTTCGCCAAAGTTGATTGCGGAAAAGAGTAGTGTTGGTAACCAGGGCCGCGTTTCAGCATTCATATGGATTTATGGTTGGAAGAAAGATCGGGCAATTCGCGAGGGAAAGGTTCCATGATGTTCCATGTCGCAGAAGGGTTGGGCGCTCCGAAACCTATTCCCCTAGCAAGTCATCAGGCCTTTGCTCCACGGTAATCCTTTGATGTTTCTGTGGTCAACATCCATTCAAAGCGGCATCCTGGATCCTTCAAAGTTCCCTAACTCGCGGTGTCCAAGCCAAAGCTACAACCCTTCTGGTTTCAAACCACGAAACCGCAAGTCCTCAAGCACCCCCTCCAAATCCACCGGCCTCGGGTTGTCCCCCCCCTTTTGCTTTTTGTTTTCCCCGTTTTCCCCAACAAAGGGACGCGAAACCGAGCCCGGCCGGTGTTCCGAACGAGTCCTGGCCATCAAGACCTTGGCCACTTCCAGGCCGTTGGGCACTTCCAGCGCCGCCGCGATGTCGGTGATGGGAAAGTGCGCGCCTCAGGGCTTCGCTTGGCGTTTTCCTTTTCCGCCTGGTTATAGGCTAGTTATAGGGGGAAAAACAACGAAAACACCCAAGAAAAGCGAAAACTCCAGGAGAGCTCTGGATGCCGCCATGTTAAGCAAGGAAGGGAACCTTCGGAACCCGATCTTTCGATTTTTGTTGCCGTAGCTTGCCATGGTTTTGTGGTTGATTGTTGGCGTACTTGCAATATTTCGGGCGGACATCTGTCCAAATTGGAGATTGCACTTGATTCATTTCCCCCCTGCCTAGCTTCTTGCAAATCCACTTTTCGCTTTTCAGACCAGAGCCATGGGGGTCAAAACATTTTCGTCAAGATCTCCGCCCATCAAATGCGGAGATCTTTCAGATCCGGCGACCTTTCCGGGCCAAGGAGTCGAGGCCGACGCGCCTGCGAAGCAGAAGTGCAGCTCCGAGCACCGGGACAGAAGGCTGCGGCCCAGGAAGGCCTTCTTCGGGTTGGGCAGGGCCTCGGTCCCATCCAAGTGACATGATTGGAGTTAGGCCCAGTCATAGAATATATATATATACATATATATATATATATATATTATTGCTTGCTTCACTTTGAGTCACTAGCCAAATGTAACAGGTATCCTAAGTCTACCCCAGGTGATAGCAAAGGAATCTGTGTGACACCCAAGCGAAACCCCACTTGAAACAAACGCATCGCCGACGCTGTCCCAGGGTTTTCCTGGTCAAGATGCGCGCCATGGTCAAAACCCAACTTGAGTATGGCCTATGGCCTTGGATTCCTTATAAGAAACATGGTTCTGGTTAAGGATCCTTACCCTGCGGACGACAACATCCCTCTAGCATTTGTTCAAATAATCCAAGCCAATTTTCAGGGTTACACTGAGTGGCTTACCTGTAAGCCAACCCTTTACCCGGGTACCATCAAACCCAAAACTGGGCATCCGAGAAAGGCTCATCGGCTTGAGCGCCGGGCCAGGCCGGCCACCCGTTTGTCCGTGAGCCTGGCATCAAATGGATGCGTCGCGCATTTCTTGGGATTTTGGGACCAAAATGGCGCAACGATTTGCTGGTTTCCCTCGAAAACAACAAAAGAAAGGTACTGTTCGGTGTTTTTTTGTTTGTTTTGGGGTGGAGTGTGACAAATCGCACAGGCTGCACACTTCCTGAAAGTACATGTGCAGCCGGCAGCCGGCAGCTTGTGACTTCAACTTTGCAACCCTTCACCCCAGTTGTCCAGCGACAACTGGTGGGAAAAGGGAACCATTTTGGGGTTTGACATGGTTTGACCGTTTGGGCGGGGAAACCACCAAGCGAAACGCATATGTAGGGCGCCGCTGAAGAACTGGGGGACCATGGTGCCGATTTGAGTAGGACGTCCCACTCTCTGCGATACGACGGGGCTCGCTTGCAAACGGGGTGGGAAGATTTTACTTTGGTATCACCACAGCTATTTCCCAGAACTTTCCTGAGAATTATCCATCCTGGTCATCCCCCAAAAATGTTCAAGTTGTTCTAGCACCTTGAACGTATTTTACCACTGGATTGAAGATTCGAGACACTTTTCCGAAGTCTTATTGAACACCGAGAGTATTGGGACAACTCAGCCCAGTGACCCTGGTGAAACGTACTTTAAGGAAAGCCAACGTACTGAAGGACGGGGACCGTCACTCCAAGAGGCCTGCCAAAGAGGGGCGGCGAGTCCGGATTTCGCCTAAAGCGAGTCCTGGAAAACCTGGGCCGGGAATGCTCACTGAAAGTCGTGGGATTTTGGCCGTGCTACATGCAAAAACGCAAGCTTCTTGAACAACCTCCCAAACGGCTTCCCGCTAAAAGGGGCCAGGGGTTGCTAGTTTCATCAACATTTTGCCTCATCAAAAGCTCAACTTCAGCTCCTGCACCGCCCGTTGACCCGCCAGCTTGGAGTCTGACAAATGGGACTCCCTAAAATGGCTGGGTTCCTCCTTTTGGCGTCCCCACAAACAAAGCACACCCATTGAAGGCTCTCGAAAAACGGTACGCGCTATTTCAACTGGTGATTTCTTCTTGGCCCTCCTTTAAAAACTAGACGAACACGCGTCTCAAAACCAACACAGGCAGGAGGCAGCAACAAGGTCTTCAAGTTCCCATTGTACTTCTCAGCCATGCCGTCCAGCAGGCCGCTCCATGGCATGTCATTGGACCTCCGCCAGCGGGGTGTTTGGTTCTGGGTCAAAACATGCAAACAAGACTGACGGGTTTCGCGAGCCCAGCCCTCGATCAAACGCCATAGATCCAAGTGGCTTGTCTCCTTCCTTCAGAGAGTTCCTCGGGAACTGCAGCTGGCATGGCCATGGATGCCAAATGCTTCACAAAGCAAACAGCAAACTACAGCTGCGAAGTCATCAAGGCTGAAAGGCTGAAGTACACTTACTTCTCCACATTCCGCTCCTAGCATCCTGGCCAACGTGATGTCCTTCACTCAGGTACGCAAAGCCTGACATGATCAATACTCAGTTGGGTGTCTTCTGAAAAATCGGGGATGCCGTTCTCGTGGCCGGTTTCCTTCTGGCTTGCCGGAAGTAGCATCATAAGGCTCCCATTTTCGCCATGTTGTTCTCACTTGCCCAAAGAACCTGGAAATAAACGGTGAACCTTTTAAGACCTCTACTGAAAATAGACCAGCAAGGGAAACCAAAAGGTCAAAAGGTCGGCTTTCAACAACTGTGCTTTCTAGGGGTGCCTTCCCCATTCTTTCCAGGAATCCTTCTTTCTAGAAAACATTCGGAAACCCAGGGAAAACGGCCGGTTAATTTGGAAAGAGCGATGGTTGAAGAGAATGGAAAAGGAATCAACCCCTAGAGGTTTTAGAAATGCCCCATCTTCCACCCGTTCCCGCCGGGGTGCTGATAGGTGGCGGCGTCCAAGACATGGGGCTGGTTGCGGTACTCCCTCACCCACGGGCCCAGCGGAAGCCTGAGCTGGGCCCAACATCCGCGCCGGACGGCCAAAAATCGGATCCACCCGGGTGGCCAAATTGACTGAAACCATCAAGACAAACCAAAAGGATGCTGGATGCTGGTCACGCAATAGTGGTTGAAACCAATGGTTTGAACGAGCTCGCCCAACCCCTCCTCCCCCCCTCCCCTTACCCTTGAGCGCTTGAAGAACAATAGCTGCTAACATCCAACCCCAATGGAAATCAAAGGTTTCGAATGGCAGCTCTCCAACCCTTGGTATGTTAGCAACAAACGTTGTTCTTTCAGCTGCCCACTTAAAAGCAACAGAACTACAACCACAAACCTAAACCCAACATGCCAACTGTGAACGAGTTGGAGGTTTTCCTAGCCTTGCCAAATAGGGCTACCCTGGGTGGTTGAAAGCCAAAGGCGCCAGGGTCAAAAGCTTGATTTGAGCCAAGGCTGGGTAAGTCCCGGAGCTGGACGTTGACGAAGTTCCAGTTTGTGTGGAAAGCTGACTGACCCAAGAGCCCTGAATATAGAAGTTTGTCTTTCCTTTATCTTCTACATGATCAAGGCTGGGGTTTGGCGAAACAAACATATTCAATTAAAGTGTGGAAGGTTTGTTTCGGAGTCAAAGAACAAACGAGGTCACTCGATTCCTTCAAAACAACACCTGATCAATCTACTGGTGGGTCCAAGTATGCACTGCCACTTTGGGAGGTCCAAACAAGTTACATGTTGAGCAACCCCTACCAGCCAAATTGACATTTTGAAAGCAGGATTCGACTGGTACATGAAAACCGAACAAACTGAAGCCAATGCCATCAATTTCAACCAAAGTGGCTGCAAAGGACACTTGCGCCCGCCTCCCCAAAATTGGGTCGCTTCAACCAAAATCAACACACCTTCCACAACCAAACTAGGAAGAGCGGGGGGAGAAATATCCCCCAAAGGTTCAGGTGACCCGAAATGACAGCCTCAGCACTGTGCACGTTTTCCGATGGATCGCTCGCGCCTCGTCTCCGACAGCGTGATGAAAGCGACGTCCACTTCGCCATCCGTGAAGGGCTCCTAGCCCGATCGATCGGTCAACAGCGGTGGATTCTCTAAGGTTTCAAAGCTGGGGCCCTAAGGATAACCCCGGATCAATAAACTCCTGGTTGATTAATGCGGGAGTGTCCCCTTTCAGTGGGGATTCATCACTTTTGGAGGGAACACCATTACAGGGCCCTCGCCTCTTGTGGGGAAAGCATCACGAAGCAGTTCTGGTGGCCTCAGGAGCAAGGACTGGCAAAACAGCAGATCGAAAGGAAACCTCTGTCTCATGCCCCTAAAATCCTTCCGCATCCTAGCGGGTGGGTGTCGCTGGGATTTGCGCAGACCTGAGCAAAAGATACGCACCGTCAGCTCTCGCATTGTTCTTCGTGAATCTGATTGCAAGGGGTGGCTCCAGGGCAGAATCTGCTGCGATCGACGCCTTTAGGCGTTGGGCAAGCATTCGCGAGCCGAAGCTTCAACCCAAGCGAAACTTTGGAGCGAAGCTCCTGTCTAAATCGTGCATCAGCACCTGCGGTGTTCCGACGAGCATGTGAAACAACGAACGGCAGTCTGGAAACCAGGGCTGGTGCGCAACTCACGTGCCCAAACTGATTGCAGAAGTAAAAAAACCAACAGGTCAAAAAGTCGGAATTGGGCAAGTGGGGCGGTCTAAATGAGTTCGACTCTAGCTTCAGCGGTAACTCCTTCAGGCAACTAATGGACGTGTGTTTGAACGCATCCCCATGCTGGAATCCGAGACCTATTCGAGAAAATCGCAGCCTCAGAACTGGCCACGAAATGGAGCGTGCATAGCTTCATGGGTGTGGAAAATAACCCCATCTGCGATACCAATGCGAATTTCCATGACAGCAGGATGCCGCTTCAGATGCCGCTTCAATCAGGCCCCGAAGGTCATGCCGGAGCTGCGTCTGTACAAACGCCGGTAGTCCAAGGGGAAAAGGGCCTGGCCGCGGCAACTCTTTGAACAAGCCCATTGCGCCCTTTATCTTGGTTGCTGTTGACCCCTCTGCAAGAAGCTAAACTTTTTCTGGGTTTAGTGGAAAACCCCTTGATTTCCCAAAAAGTTAAAGTCTAAAGATCCAACCCAATAGCAGTCAAGTTATGTATCCGAGTATATGGGCATGTTCCATAGGGATTTGGCCCCTGAAATGCTGGCTTTCCACTTGGGACGCGTTCTTGGCTGCCTTTGCCTTTTTGCGTGCCTCTTTGGAGGGAAAGTTGTTCGTTGGCTTGGTTTGTTTGATGGTGAGTTGCTTGTCGCATTGTTTGTTTGGTGCTTTTGTTACTGAGGGTACCACAGCTTGGCAGGTTGGTTTTTGTTAGGGTTTGGGTTGCCGCGGTCTTTGGTTGCCGTGCTTCCCATTTTCTCAAGGATCCCCCCGACTTCCCGGAACATATGCCAAAAGAGGCAGCCACAAAAAGAGAAGCGGCTGGGCAAATAGAATCCCCCAACTCCCCCAAACCGGAACCAACAAAAAACGTCTTGGATTGTTTCCCCCCAAAATCCCCGCGCCTTCATGAACTCCATCTCATTGATGGCTCCGTCGCCATCCGCGTCGAAGGCCACAAACAGCTCCGAGGCCTCTGAGGGTTTCATGCCCACCCGCATGGCGGCCACCAATGCCTCAACCCGCGGCTTCCAAAGCGCGCTTTCCGCGGTGCTGAAGGGGTTGATGGGGTGTTGTTTTTCGATGTTCAGGGAAATGAAGGGACACCCAGTGCTGCCAGGCAGTTGCCACATAATGGTTTCTCCTGGTTCCCTATTCTAGTTGTAGTGGTAACTGGAAGCACTGGGAAAGACAAAAGGAGCCAAGGATGCCAAAGAAATGCTTAAAGTGGATTGATTCAACAGGTGCAGAAATGTTTGGTGGGTTCTTGGTGTGCTTTTCTTCTCGTTGGCTTCCACGGGAAACTATGCGAAGAGGGCACCGTTGATGGCAAATCATCCCGAAGCCTTTCCTTATGCCTCCTAAACCTAACCATCTTGGAAGCTCCTTCCATTTTGCGACACAAATGCGTCGTTTTTTCCAGGCAGCAGCGCTCCAAAGCCGAACTTGTTTTTGCTGGCGACACTGTGTTTCTCCAATCAGTAAATTTGTGCTAACGGAACCGCCACTTGAACACATCCAAAGACAAAGTGAGGGAATCCATTTGTGTTCAATGGCAACATGTGTAAAGTCCCTTTGGCCAATGCAGCACTATGACCCAGCCAGACCGTAGAAACACCAACTGAAACGAACAAGGGAGCCCAGCGCCTTTCAGGCCGCCTGTCGGACATACAAACGAGAATTTGTTTGCAGCCGGCCAGCAAGCGTATATTCACACATCCATCTCCTTCTGGCTTTCTTTCGGGGGCATGTAACGTCATGCCACATAGCCGGACCCACTAAGCAAGCAGAGGCTCGCAAAATTCTCCGAGGTCGAGCTCCCCGTTGCCGTCACGGTCGAAGCGCTTGAAGACGCGGGGCATGTCCGCAGCGGAGTAGCCCAACATCTTGAGCCGCCTCCGGGCCTGTATCACTAGAAGGATCCGATGCCTGTCCGACCAGGCCTGAGACATGGCATTCCCAATCACCGACAAAGGCATTGCCATAAACAGCACGCTGATGATACCTTCGAAGGGAGAGCGGCCATGCGTGGGGACGAGCTTGGTGTGTTGCTTGTTATTCAGGGTAGGAAAGGCTTATGAATTTGGCAACCCTTCGAGGGAACTGTCTCTTTGCCACTTTAGAAGCCTCCCAGCACATCACAGCCCCCTAAAATCATTGACTCTGTGGACAATGGAAAGGCACCTCCAACCTGAACCACCGATCAAAAGCAAGCTGAACTAAGGAATCCCACCCATGTTCCTGTAGTGATTGCACGTCTGTTTCTTTCGGATCGGCAACCTCTCTCACTCCCTCGACTCACTCGCTCACTCGCTCACTGACTCACTGACTCACTGACTCACAGACTCACCGACTCACAGACTCACTGACTCAACTCATTGACTCACTGACTCACTGACTCACTGACTCACTGACTCACTGACTCACGGACTCACTGACTCACTTATTCACTCACTTATTCACTCACTTATTCACTCACTTATTCACTCACTTATTCACTCACTTATTCACTCACTTATTCACTCACTTATTTACTCACTCACTCACTCACTCACTCACTCACTCACTCACTCACTCACTCACTCACTCACTCACTCACTCACTCACTCACTCACTCACTCACTCACTCACTCACTTCACGCACTCACTCACTCACTCACTCTCACTCACTCACTCACTCACTCACTCACTCACTCACTCACTCACTCACTCACTCACTCACTCACTCACTCACTCACTCACTCACTCACTCACTCACTCACTCACTCACTCACTCACTCACTCACTCACTCACCACTCACTCACTCACCACTCACTCACTCACTCACTCACTCACTCACTCACTCACTCACTCACTCACTCACTCACTCACTCACTCACTCACTCACTCACTCACTCACTCACTCACTCACTCACTCACTGCCTCACGCACGCACGCACGCACGCACTCACGCACATGCACACAGACAAACACAAACACAAACAGACTCATTCGCACACACACGCACAGACACACGTTGCACGTTCTCCCGTCTCCGACGTCTCCGATTTACCAATTCACCAATGCCCTACCCTGACCCAACAAAAGAACTGGAACCCGTTGTGGGGTCGATTCCCAGAAGGGAAACAGAAAGGGATTGTAGAACCCCGCCGACCAGGGTTCTGTCAGGCGGCAAAGAACTCCTGCGATGATCTTCCCAGGCCACGTGGTGGGTGCCAAGTCACAAGTGCCCACCTCGAAAGCCGAATGGCAGCCGTTTATCGGTTGATATTGAAGGGAAGGAGCCGCAACCAATTCGTTTGGTCGAAACTGTTGTGAAGGGGAACCCCCTCCTTGCCCTTTGGCTACAGGGAACCCACTCCTTTTCAAAGGTGAAAGACAGGTTCGCTGGGCCACAGTGGTCACGGTCACCGTGGACAAGTAGATGGCGAAGGGCAGCGATTGCGACTGCACCGGCTCCGTGATGAAGAGCAAACACCCAAAGAAGTTGCAAATCAGGCACACCTGAGTCAGCGTGCGACTGGCGAATCAAGACCTGGTATTAAAACGGTTTATATCGGCACCAAATTGTATGGTTGGGATCATCCCTCACCTTCATCTACCCAGGCTTTGATTGTGGCATCACTCGGGGGTGTTTCCCAAAAATAGAGGACCCCCTTTTTCACTTTAAAGGGAGACAAAAGGAAACTAAACATCATCTTTCATGTCACTTGTCAGTTGCCAGAAGACTTGGGGTTGTGCTTTTGCAGGGTACTTTGGCTGACACCGGGATTTTGCAAGGAAACCAACTAGTTCGGGGTCCAAATTCTTTCGAGCATACCCACATGAACCAGGTGAGTTCAGTTCTGCTTTACGGGACCCGGGGAACCATCGGTGACTGGTGGCCATAAGCCCAGATTGATTTCGAGACGCCAAGAAGAGCAACAGCTTCAACGCATCCAGCGTGGTGGAGATCACATGCATCAACAGCCGCAGCTTTTGAAACTTGCGGATGAGCTTTAGTTGCCGGACCACTGGCACAAAGCAATACAGCGTGAAATGCGCCACCGCGTTCTCCAGGCGTGTTGGAGGCGCCACGCCGAAGATGCTCCGGACGACGAGGGGAAGAACCGCCAGCAAGTCCACGAGGTTGTAAGAGCTCTTCCAAAACGCGCGCTTCTCCGAGCTCGACAACCAATGAACCAGGAGCTCCACCAGTAGGATGCTCTCCACCACAATCTGGATCAGTCCTTCCGTGTGAAGCGACACCACCGGCTGGTCTCCAGCCTGCCAGATGGTGAAAGCGATAGAGAGGGCAACGCAATAGTTCATGCCCGTAGCATAAAACCACGCAGCATTGCTAGAGTCCGAGTCCTGCAAAAACATGAAGACTCGGGAGACTGCCGGCTCGCGTAGCAAGACAGCGCCAATTGAGCCTGTGCTCGGTCTCTTTGTCTGGAGGTAATTCGCGGGCAGCTTGGGGGTGTCATCCTCAGAGCTGCCCAAGCTCGCAGAGCTTGAGCTGCTGGTGGTGCTGCTCCTCTTGCTGAGGGCACCTACTTCAAAATGTGCCTCCGGCTCCTCCAAAGTATGGGGCAGCTGCAGCTTCTGATTCTCCGAGTCTGAGCTCGGAACTCGTGGAAGGAGTACCTCCGGTGCGACTGAGGGAGTGCAAGGATCAGGCTCGGCAGGCTTTGGTGCCGGTAGCTCTGCTTTTTTCTTGGGCGTGCTCAGCTCGCCCGACTCCCGCACCCATGGTAGCAGCTCCTCGCTGGACTCTGCGACGGGCGCCTTCTTCAGCAAGGCCCGGGTGTTGGCAACGGCGGCATCTTTGCTGAGCGCAGCCAAGCGAAGCGTCTTCCCGGCGGAAGGTTCGAGATCGGACTCTGCACTGCCCGCTTCCACGTTGGCCTTCCAAGATGCCAGGTCTCTCTCATAGTGCTGCAGCAGCTCTGACTTGAAGCGATTTGTTAGTTCTGTCAGGTGTGCACTGAAAGATGCCTCCATGGCAATAAATCGGAATTGATCGGATGTCGCGGCAAGAACTTGAGCCTGCCAAGTTCAAGTGGGATGCGTGAATCACTGGGGCCCAAGATCCCTTTTACACAAGCGGCGCGGAACAAAGACTGTGGCGCTAGCCAAGGGGCGGTACTTCCCTGACAGCTTGAAGAGGGAACCCCAAGTCAGATCCCACAAAAAGCTAATGCTCCACAATTGGGCGTGGATACCAATGCGGGCGTTCCATACACAAATCAATCAAACATGCACGTCAATAACTGCACACTAGCAGCTATACAAGTGCCACTTGAACGAGCTTCTACATTCATATCCTTGTATACACGTGATTCTGTCTATAGGTCCTGCCAAACATACACATCCTGCCGCCTCCTCTTTGGCCGGCGGAGCCTATTGCGCTGCGCAAGCCGGAGCAAAGATTCCAACTGCCCTTTCGTGGCGGTGTTGTTGCCGCTTTTGCTTGTGCCCACAAGCTGTCCATAGGGACTGCAAACCAACCAACCAACCAACCAACCAACCAACCAACCGTTTCCAACATGACCCCAACTCAACAAAAGTGGGTGGCAACTCAACAATAGAAAGACGCACCCCATCCACACAGGAGCCCCCCCCCCCGTCGCCGAGTCCTGAAGCCAGGCCTCCAGGGACCTGCCACTTGGCCCGGTGAGCTCGTGGAGCCCCAGGAACCTCTCGGAAGCAAGTCAAAGAAATCAAGAGACCAAGATGTCTCTCTCTCCCTCTCTGTACGTGCATATTTAAACATTTGGCAATGATACATTCATATTTACATTTATATTTGTATTTATATTTGTGTGTGTGGCTCCATCTCTCTCCCGGGTGCTCTGCCGGAGGTCCCAAGATTAGGAGGGAGCCATTTGAGAGGAAAACCAACTGGACCATTTGTTGGTTGGCTGATCCTTCTTCGCGAACCCTCTGAAACTGGGGAGGGAAGCAGTGGGCAGGCCAAGTACCCCGAAACTGGGAACCCTTCAGTGCCCCAAACCAAAGGAGCTCTGCACGGCTCGGGATGATTCGGGCCCAATTGATTCATCCAGTTTTCTGAGCTGGAAGGACACTTTTTCACTTCCGCTAGTCTTCCCGCGAAGGCAATGGGCAGAACTCCGTGCTCTCCGCTTCCCCGATTTGGGGCCGTTGCTCATCTAGACCTGCCTCTCCAACGCACAGCCAAGAAGCGCAGAGCTGTTGGCCATGTTGAAGTTGTAAAACCGCATTCCTCATAGCTGCAGCGGACAGTACGACTGCACCCTCGCTACCTACATTACCTTGAGGAAGGAGCACACGCTCAGCTGTCTGGGCATACCTATATGCCTACCTAGGGGGGTGGATATATGGGGTGTAGAGGTATCGGATGAGTCCCTTGTGAGCTGGTGAGTCTGGGCTGACGATACCGATTGCCGGTTTTATTACTCCCTTTCAAACGAGGTAGAAGGCATAGTCTGGAGTGAGAGGCCCAATGGCAACCCGGAAGAGAGATGATACACAGCCTTTGACGCGAGCATTTGAGCACCTGCTGCCCAGCGGCGAAAATGCTCCCCGGCCATCGCTTCATGGCCCGCGCATCGCACGCGGAGGTGCTGAAAAAAGATAGGCCGTGGCCTGAAAGGCAAGCGATGACTTTTGGATGGTTCAGTTCAACGTTGCACTTCTGGGAAGTTGTTGCTCACTCGGCAAATTTGCCCATGGGTCTAGTTCCGGAAGGCTTGCGAAGCCATGCGCTGAGCCCGGAGAGAGAGACACCCGAAGTCAAGTCAGAACGATGCGCACGGATCTCCCGCCGCTTTTCGTCGGACCTTGACATGAGCTCGCTTAATGCCACCACATTCTATAGGCTCATTGTGAGCCAACGCTGGCAGAGTCTAAGCTTGGATCGATTTCTGCAAAATCGAGCCGAAGGAATCATTTGGTATTTGGTGTTTTCCCTGGGCCCCTTCACTGCCCCCTTTGGGGGGCCACCAACACAAGACAGTCTCAATCTGGCAGATGCCGGGGCATTTAGATCACGCAGGCTTCACGTCGCGTCCACGCATCTGCAGTCGCTGCAGCTCGCAGGGAAGTGCTTGAAGTCCTGATTCAAAGATTCCATTTGTCAAGCCACAAAGGCCGGCAGGCAACTAGCTGAGCACACACACACACACACACTGAAGGATCGTTTGGAGAACAGTACTCCTGTCCCGTAACACACACACACACTGACAGACAGAAGCTAACACATCCGATACGGAAAACATTGTGTGCCTAAACGCCTGTGCCTGAATCCAACGTACGTCCTTGGAGAGCCGTGAGGTACAGCCTTGCTCCTCGCCTTGCATACCTCAACTCTCCGCTCGCGGCTTTCTGCAGGGTAGGCGAGGTGCTACTCACAAATGGGGCACGGGATGGCACGGGGAAACCCCAAGTAAAGGACCGGACCTTCATCTCATCTCACTCTGAACCGGCGAGCTGATTACTTGCCCAACCGCTTCCACGTTTGTCGCGGTGGCTCATGGTTTCTAGCACATGGGGTCGTTGCGACACCAATGATTGATGCAAGCTGGAACCGTGAGAGAACCCACACCTCACCATGATCTGCAAAGGGACCTTCGGTGGTGAGCTCGCCTTGAGCAAAACAAGTGGGTTTTGTTGGACCAATGGGCCCATGGGTCTTTCGAACTCCGAGCGGCAAAGCTTCCGGCCGCAGAAGCAGTCCCCGTCCGGATCCGGGCGCCGAATCGCTGCGGAGCTTGGGCACTCGAGGGAAGACTCCTCCAGGGTTAGGACGCATCCTACTGTGGATGGACGAAATCCATTTTGCATCCATTTTGCACCACCTAAGAAACCCTGGAATGATAAGATTCCCCGGTAAATGCCAACAGCAACGGCTTCCCATGGTGGCAAAGTGGTGCGAAATGGATTTCGTCCATCCACACTAGGTCCTTGCAACACTCCTGCGGCTCCGTTTAAACAAGGGAAGCCCCCGACTCAGCTGGCAGCGCTGTGATTTTCAAAGGCCCGGATTCTGTCCTTGGAAGCCGGCTCTTCCAGCTGCGGGGTCTCGCAGGTGCAGGTCTCGCAGTCTTTGTCGAACATGATCTCCGGGCGAACGGCTTCACGTAGGAAAGTGAAGATAAAACCAATTGACCCCGTTGAGAAACGGAAGCCACAAAGAACCACACATCAGTGATTCAGCTTCCCCCGAATCGGTGGTTTGGATTGGTGGTTTGTTGCTTCAGGGATTTTTCCATTTGCCCCCAACAAGAACCAGGGGTTAAAATCCAAACCACTGATTGAAGCAGCGAACTCGGGAAACCCCCCGAGACTTGCGTTTGGATCGGCTTTCAACAAGGTTGGGCACGGGGGGAATGCTGCCAAAACGGCTCCTGAATTGTCAAAGCCGTTGGTTTCCTAAGCCTCAAAAGGACCCTGCGGTAATACAGGCTAACCAACCATGTGCCCTCCTGCTGCTCTCCCGCTGATTGATTTCTCATGTCGGGCTAAACCCAGGAGAAAAAAAAAAAAACACTGTTGACCTTTGTTCAAAAAAGGACAAGGTGTTTTTGGAAGTGTAGATGCCCATGAGAAAGATTGCTGCATTTCCTCTTCCGAGCTTGCAGCCGCACCTTGCTGGCCCGGCCGCTTTTCGTGGGGCAGCCCACTGTGGGCCCGTCATGGCAGGTGGTGTGTTCTGGACACACACCTGGGCCACGGGGCTCGCCTGGACCCCTTGTTGGAAATCTACCTGCGCCTGGGCAAGTTGAGGGGTGAGATGGGGGCATCAAAATGGCAGCGTGTGGTTCGCAGAAGCGAGCCTTCCAAGTTGCCCAGCTCCGCCCCTCCCAGAAAGCAACACCAGGCGAGGCACAATCACCGTCCTCGTCGGCCTCGCTGAGCGCTGCGAAGTCTGGGCAACTCCCAGCTTGAAGCAAGTCTCCTCGCGCCATCATGCCTGAAGGACAGGATCGCAAAGCAACAACCCTGGCCGTGCCGGTTCGCTCCTCACGTGAGACGACCCACCAACCAAAAGAAGTCTGGGAACTGCCAAATCCAGCTCGCTGCCAAGACGCCAGCTGGCCTGTCCATTCTGTCTGAGCTCGACTGATGCAGTTTGATTTCCTCGCTCTCGTTTTCCTCCTCCTCCTCCTCTTCCTCTCTGGGTGGTGCTGGATATATGCGGAAAAGATTGGCAGTTCTCTCAACAGCTTCCCACAGCTCGTAGCTGATGCCACTGGGCTCGGCCTTGAGAGCGGGACTGTCCTGGGCTGAAAGCAAGAAGCACAGCATGCGCGAGACATGGCCGGCAGGTGTTTTTCTTCGAACCAATAGATCGCACTGGCGACAAGCATTGGACCAAAATCAAACTTCGGACGGCATTGAAGGAGCACAACAGCACAACGTTCCAATGGACGTGGTGAATAGCATAGGTGTCAGCTGTTGGTTCAAACTTCAGCCAAGCCGGACCAGCAAGGTCATGACCATGTCCCGCTAGCGCCGCTCGCTCGCCGAGCTTCGTAGGAGCCAAAAGGCGGTGGGGAGGGCGGCGGGGAGCCGAGGAGGTCGTGGGAGCCGTGGGAGTGACGCAGGGGCCTCAGCAGACGCCCAAGCAACGTCTCTTTTTATAAAAGGGAACGAAAAGGCTCTAGCTGCTGAAACAGAGCTGGAAAAAAAACACGTGCAACACTATTTTTTGGGGGTACTGTTTTTGCTGGCCCAGCAGTGGTTGGAGCTGCGATCGGTGGTCTTCCTGACAATTGCACATTGGCGCGCGAACACAGTAAACTGCGCAAAGCAAAAAGTGGCCACATGCTCTCACACAAACTCTCATTGGTCATCAACACATGTTTAACCCAAGGCACACATGTTTAGCCGTGACACCTGCCAAGCTTAGTACATGTGCCTTTTAGCCTGCAATCCGAATCCAAGGCTCATTTCCCTAGTGGATTGACCGAAAGAAGTCAGAACCTTCCGTTTTCCGTTGAAGTGGTCTTCCCAAAAAGTTTAAAGTCCAGGAACTCAGGAGGTGAGAAGGCAAAGTTTTCTACGTCGACTCCGGCCGCCTTTTGAAACTGCCGCGGCGCACGCTTTGCGAGTCGCCGTCGTGCTGCATGAGCTTCTTCATGGCAGCCGGGCGCAAGTCCAGGTCGCAGAATGTCTCCACCCCGACCTTGGAACCCAGATCTGGGTTGTCCATTTTCTGATCCCCCGATCAGAAGCTTAACTTTTGGTGGGCGAAATAAACAACCCCACTAAACACAAAAAAGGCCAAAAACGAGGGAAGGGCTGGGAGCCACCAAGCAATAGTGGCACACACGTCGTCCAACCCAGGATGTAGCCAACAGGCTCTTGGCCGGAAAACGTAGCAACTTTTCATTGACACGGGCACACGGACACACATACACACAGACACACAGACACACAGACACGCAGACACACAAGCACACAGACACACAGACACAGAGACACAGAGACACAGAGACACAGAGACACAGAGACACAGAGACACAGAGACACAGAGACACAGAGACACAGAGACACAGAGACACAGAGACACAGAGACACAGAGACACAGAGACACAGAGACACAGAGACACAGAGACACAGAGACACAGAGACACAGAGACACAGAGACACAGAGACACAGAGACACAGAGACACAGAGACACAGAGACACAGAGACACAGAGACACAGAGACACAGAGACACAGAGACACAGAGACACAGAGACACAGAGACACAGAGACACAGAGACACAGAGACACAGAGACACAGAGACACAGAGACACAGAGACACAGAGACACAGAGACACAGAGACACAGAGACACAGAGACACAGAGACACAGAGACACAGAGACACAGAGACACAGAGACACAGAGACACAGAGACACAGAGACACAGAGACACAGAGACACAGAGACACAGAGACACAGAGACACAGAGACACAGAGACACAGAGACACAGAGACACAAAGACACAAAGACACAAAGACACAAAGACACAGACACACAGAGCCACAGAGCCACAGAGACACAGAGACACAGAGACACAGAGACACAGAGACACACGGACACAGAGACACAGAGACACAGAGACACGGAGACACGGAGACACGGAGACACGGAGACACGGAGACACAGAGACACAGACACACAGAGACACAGAGACACAGAGACACAGAGACACACACTCACACGCACACGCGCGCATGCAGGACCATGGTCGGCCCTGTGACTGGACATCCCCACCCCCCAAATTTCATAGGAAGGAGTCCTCTCACCGTGGTTTAAACAGAACATCAAGCAAACCAAGCCCTTTCAAGAATTCCTTCCAGAGTCCTGAGGCCGCCTGAGGCTGACGCATTGTAGCAAGAAATGTCGCTGCCAGGTGGACAAGTACCGTGACCCTGAGCTCATGTTCAAAGCTTCCCTGCACCCTTTAGGCCTCCAAAAGCAAGGGTCTGGCTTAGTTTTAGGGTCCAGCTAGGTGGCATGTACCAAAAACATCCAAAAACAGGAACGAGTTTTGCCGTGCTCCGTGCTTCCTTGCATAGCCAGCAGCGCAAACACCCAACGGATCTCTCTCTCTCTCTCTCTCTCTGTCTCTGTCATTCTGTTGCATCAAAATATGCGTTCCCGTAATACGGACACCTTTGGTCTCTGTGTGAACTACACTAATTAGTCTAAACAACATCCTTCTCATTTCCCTTGGTTCAAATGAAGGATGTGGTCGGTGGTTGCCCTGGGTCCCGGCATGTCCTGCAAGTACTCCACCAGCTTGAGGCAGAGGTCCATGCAGGGGATCTGGTCCCCGGATTCGATCTCATCCAGCCGCAGCTCCTGCCACAGCCTCCAGCGCCGCAAGTGTCCAAGTCGAGCCACGAGCCAAGAAACACCCGCCCTCTCTCTCACCAACCTTTGTTGTCGTTGGAAGGGGAGCACAAAACAATTAAATTTTAGCAGTTAAGTGGTTGGATTTCAACCACTAAACCACAATAAGCAAGAATGTAAAACGTTTCCCAACAACAACTTGTGACATGGCACCTCACAGAAAGTCCCTGCAAATGGAAAAATGATCTTCCAGGCGCCTCCCGACAGGTACCATGTTTGGGAAAACAAGAGGTAGGGTCTCAAAATGACGGACCTTTGAAACAACAACAGTTAGGTACCTCGAAAACGACACGTCCAGTTTGTCAGCTCAAGCACACCGTCTGGCATCCCTTGCGGCGCTCACACATCTGCAAGGGATTGCTGTGGCACAATCGGACGGGCGAGCCCTAGTGCAGGGCAACGTTGCAACGGCTTTTGGACTGCTTTTGACCGCGAAGGCAGCGCTTAAAGGAGGGACCAAGGAGGAAACTGCGGTCCCTTTTAGGTCCGCCCTTTTCTGGGCGCCGTGCTGTGTGTGTGTGTGGTGGTGTGTGTGGTGTGTGTGGTGTGTGTGGTGTGTGTGGTGTGTGTGGTGTGTGTGGTGTGTGTGGTGTGTGTGGTGTGTGTGGTGTGTGTGGTGTGTGTGGTGTGTGTGGTGTGTGTGGTGTGTGTGTGTGTGTGTGTGTGTGTGTGGTGTGTGTGGTGTGGTGTGTGTGTGTGTGTGTGTGTGGTGTGTGTGTGGTGTGTGTGTGTGTGTGTGTGTGTGTGTGGTGTGTGTGTGTGTGTGGTGTGTGTGTGTGTGTGTGTGTGTGTGTGTGTGTGTGTGTGTGTGTGTGTGTGTGTGTGTGTGTGTGTGTGTGTGTGTGTGTGTGTGTGTGTGTGTGTGTGTGTGTGTGTGTGTGTGTGTGTGTGTGTGTGTGTGTGTGTGTTGGTGTGTGGTGTGTGTGTGTGTGGTGTGTGTGTGGTGTGTGTGTGTGTGTGTGTGTGTGTGTGGTGTGTGTGTGTGTGTGTGGTGTGTGGGTGTGGTGTGTGGTGTGTGGTGTGTGGTGTGTGGTGTGTGGTGTGTGGTGTGTGGTGTGTGGTGTGTGGTGTGTGGTGTGTGTGTGTGGTGTGTGTGTGTGTGGTGTGTGTGTGTGGTGTGTGGTGTGTGTGTGTGGTGTGTGTGTGTGGTGTGTGTGTGTGTGGTGTGTGTGTGTGTGTGTGTGTGTGTGGGTGTGTGTGTGTGTGTCTGTGTGTGTGTGTGCGCGTCAAATGCCCACTCTATATCTTCAGCAGGCTCACAGCTTTGCTCATCACAAAAACTGGCAAGCTTTCATGGCAAGACCTGTAAGAATCTGTAGGGCCCAATTCAGTGTAGAGCGGCTTCAAACAAATCAAAGCAACAGATTGCGGCCTGGACGCGCAACATGTTAGAGGCACCCATTAAACACACCGGGCATCGTGGTGAGGCTTCCGTCTGCCGTTGAGTAAATTCTCGTGGGGCTGTAGCGTGCACATGGGCAATGCTGAGATACTGACTTGCCACCAACTCGTCAACGCATGGTCAAGGGTCACTTCTTGCGCGGCTTGGTCCGAAAAAGGCACTGTTGTTTTTTACAACTAAACCGGTTTTTTCAGAAAGCATCAAGTCCAGGAACTCAGGAAGCGAAACTAGCCTTGCCCACATCTGGCTTTGAAATGTGGGATGCAAAGCCAGGGGCGGCATGGCAAGTCTCTCTGTCTCTCTGGTTCTCTGTGCCTCTCGGTGTGGATCTCTCTCTCGTTCTCTATCCGCCATTGCCTATGCCGCAGGTCCGGCATCTGAATACCGCTTGCGGGGCGAGCCGCGTGTTGATGTTCTCCGGTGATGCTGAAAGAATCGCTGTCAGTCCTGTGGCTGATGTCCTTGGATTGAAGCCAGAATCCACGTCATGTAGTGTTCCAGCAAGGTGATTGATTCAGACAAGAGATCCACCCCCCTTGGCAGGGGGCTAAGCAGAACCCCTAGAAGCTGTGCCCGACCATTTGTAGGGAACCGGGTTCTCACGTGAAAGGGCACCAAACCAACTCGTTTCACCGGGTTCCACTGAAAGCCGACCTGGATCCGGCCCCAAGGATCCAGCGATCGCCGTCCTCATGCTTCACCCCGCCGTTCAGCAGCCTGCAGGTCTCATGCACGATGTAGGCGTCGCAGAGTGGCTCATAGCCCAGCGGTGGCACTGGAAGCGATGCCTGACAAAAAAACATATACGGCCCCGGTGAGGTCCATTGGTCAAGTCTTTCCATGTAGGAAGAACCAGAAATGGAATTCCAGGGACGATGCCCTTCTACCAATTGCAGCAAGGAGACCCCACACTCGACCACACTGTGGGTGAAGCGGAAGGTTCTTTGCGCAGCTGCTGCATCAATTGCAGGCTCCACAAGTCTTAGTGTCAGGCCCCCATCGCCAGCTTTCGCGAACCCAATGCCTCCCCGCATTTCTTACTGGTTGGAACACCCTCCATGGACACAAGATCGGCGTGCGGTCGAAAGTGCCAAACTCATCCCGCACATGTCACGGTTGCTCTCCAGGCCTGGTGGGCGCTTACCGACGTCAGGACGAAAATGAAAGGCCAGGCCATGGCCGAAGGATATGAAAAGCCTTTAACAAACAACTCAAGTCTTGAGCCAAAGCCAGTTCCCCACGCATCCAAACGCGGGATGGAAAGATCCTCTCACACTGAGCCAGAAGATGATCTTAGCAATACAACCTGCAAGACTTGCTAAAGGTGGGCGTGCAGTTTTGGAGGGTACTTCTTGGGGGATTTGTAAAGCGGGCTTCAAAGCGAAATTATCAATTTCGGGGGGCCCTGACGCGACAAATCGACAAGCACGAAAGGATCAAGTGAGAGTTGCTAAGCCAAGCATGGATCTGCCGGTCAAACGCATTTTCCCAACGTCCACCAGGGTCTTTTGCCGTTCATAGTGGGCGGACACGCGTTGAAGGCCTGCCAGCAAAGATCTGTATGCCCCAGACCTGTGCTCAAGGAGGCCAAAAGGACATTGGTTGTTTGGGTTTTTGCGGGGGAACTTTCCCCGCGCGACACGGGGAACAGGGATGAGGCAACATGTCTCTAAGGAGCCCCCCAGCGGGCAGCCCCCGAAAAAAGGTTCCCTGCTTTGACAACCCCCCGACACTGAAGATTTGCAAATGCCGGCGTCTCGTCTCTTGAAAACGGCGTCTTGGCTTCTGCCTTCGCACCTTTCACACGTGGCTTCCTGCGTCAGCCTCAGCATTGCCGCGACTCATCGCTCACGCCCCTTTTCAGGACTCATAATCTTTATTCCCTGCCAAGGCAAAAACACACTCATCCGAATTTCCTACATAACTGGGTCAATCTCGGTTTCCAAAGCTTGCAAAGTCGAAGGGCCATGAAGGTTGACTGTGGGTGCATTCCAAACCGCAAGCCATGGGAAAGTCACATGTGTTTCAGTTGAAGGGCGACGCCGCGAGCAAACTGGAGGTCTGGGCTTCGATTTGGGGAGTTCTCATTTGGGGCTGGCTGGCCATACGCCGAATCCCATTTTGCGAACCCAGTTTCTGAGCCAACTCCACTTCCGGTCCGGCGGAACTCGGAACTCTCTGCGGGGGGGGGGGGGGGAGGAAAAAAACAAAAAACGGGCTCTGGGCCGGGCTGATTCGTGTCCTGCGCTGCTTTTGCTGGAGCTCCCGCAAGCCGGGCATGCCGTGCTTCCTCAGGCACGGACAGGGGAAAGAAAGGGATTCTCCAAAATTAGGGCCCAAGAAAAAGCTGGTTTCTTCTTTTCCAATGAACTCACATGAAATTTAATACCAAAAGCTTGCCAACGTTGCCCCGAGGTTGGCATAGGAGCAAGCCACAACAACATTCACCATGACACACGCCCCAAGTTTGAGTTGCAACAGCTCCACATGCCTACCGATTTTGGGCCTCATGCCGCCCAGGCTCCCTGCTCCAACTGGTTGTCCTTTTGGGGTGTGCAAGTCGGCTGTGGGGCTCAAGGCAAAAAATGGAAAAGCTTCGCTTGCCGTTAATCTGCATCCACAGTTTAAGAAACACCAAGATGCCGCAAGTCAAGGACTCACTGAGTGTAGGCATGAACCTACGTGGCTCGCTGACTAACCACTAATTATGGCTCACGCATGGGAAACAATTCACTGAAGCCCATTTTCATATTAGTGCCCATACAATCAGCCTTCAAGGCCAAACAACCGAAACAAGTCGTTTGCCAGGGCGCATGAAGCATTCCTTCATTTCCTCTCCGTCGTCCTTGGCATCATCCTTGCAGACCCGAAGCCAGTCGAGCCGCCTCTGAGTTTCAGCCTGATGCCTTTGTCGAGGACAGCTACAGTAGCTGAACGACGACTTCAGAAAGAACTGCATACAAGTACCATACACCCAAACTCATGCTTCGCTGCACGCATGGTATGCTCAGCCTGTGCTAGACATAATAGGGACGTTGATGACTCGCCCAGGTTTTGCGGCCAAAAGTGAGTCGCCCATGCCACTCCCAACTCGACCATTTTGACTTCTACTTCTCTAGTTGCACTGCCGGTTTGCCCTGTGCTCTCAGCCCCTCTCCTCGTTCGCACGGGGTGGTGCCCGGAGTGAGCGAATGCCTTGGCCGGCCTCCCTCGTTTGCTGAATGGGCTCTTTGCAAAACACAAGCACGCACAACCAACGCCCCATCTGCAAGGAAGGCTCTTGAAAGCCTTCTTAGAAGATCTAGAGCAGCTTCTTAGAAGAGTACTGAACAACTTTCTGAGGGTCGTAGAGGGCGGGGGGGGGCAATGTCTCTCCTGAAGATGCCTGGATATTCTTACTGAATTGATGCGCAGGCTACGCCCCGTATGCTCCAAACACAGCAAATCAATGACCAACACATTGAAGCCTCCATCTGTAGCTAGGTCCTCAAACACAGCAAATCAATGACCAACACATTGAAGCCTCCATCTGTAGCTAGGTCCTCTAGTAGAGAGGTTAGAATAAGGGTACCCTTTTTTCTGTAGTCTATTTTAGTAGGGGAACCCTTCCCAAAAACAAGGGTAAAAGGGCACTACTGGGGGACCTAGGTAGCCAGCACTTTCAAGGAGCACATGAACTAAGAAACCCTTGAATGATGATTCCCTGTAAATACCAACAAACAACGGCTTCCCATGGTTTCAAGGTGGCGCAGGATTTCGTCCACCCACAGTATGGAACTCACAGAGTTTGTGGCCCCCCAAACGGGGTTCCTCCAAGCCATGAATGGTGAGGGATTTTGTCCATCCACAGTATTAGTTTGTGGCATCCTTCTTTCTAAAAAAACAACTGGGGAAACAGCCGGTTTTTGAAAAGAACGACGGTTGAAAAGAATGGGGAGTCAACCCTAGAACAACCTCCGTGAGTTCCATACCAATCTGTGGAATATCTTGTCAGCTGACCCATGACATTTGCTCCTCTCGCCCATCGGCTGCCCAAGGGACGGCCGCCCTGGCCTTTGATGTTCAAAATCGCCTGACCAGGAAGCCATGCGTCACAGCCTCTCGGTCACCCAGTAGCTTGCCCACATAAGGTGTGTCAAAAAAAGGTACTAAAATGGAATGGAAACATGGACCAAAATCTGCGGTCCCCTGATAGTGACTGTGATTTTGACCCATACCCTACGACTGCTTCAAGATCTCTTTACCTCCATTGCACAGGTTGCACGCCTCACTTTGCTGCTCCAGCCGACTCGTACCCAGTGGCCATCGAGAAAAAAAGAAGAAGCTGATTTCAATGCTATGCCCACCTGAGAGAAGCACAATGGTTCATGCAGTGCTCATGAACGTCACACCCCCCCCCCCACCGCCCGAACTCCCCCACTTGGATGCGGCATCCATTTCCCACAGCGAACACAGCTGAATCAAGTTCCCCGGAAGGCGCCTGAAAGGTCGGATCCCCGTTGTGCTTTCGGCCTGAGCCGATTGGAATGCGACTGGGCACTCGGAACATGATAAATCAAGTTCTACATCTTCTTTTCTCCTGAGACCGAAGGAACGAAAGTCCATGCGTTCAAAGGTCTTCTTTTCTTGGATGACTCCCTTTTCGCAATGTTTTATGACATCACAGAAAGTGATGCAACCGAAAAACCTTCTTCCCTTTTGGAGAACGGCAACTGGGGCCCGGGGCCAACTTGTTCCACTTCGTAGGTGGGCGGTTCTGTCTCTTCGGGATTGCCGATGACGACGCCGCCTGCATGTGGCCCGTGCAGTCCTGGCTCGAATGGTATGCCCGTCAAACCTGATCTAAGAAATTGGGCTTGAGACCTTGGTGAACAGAACTGATTGGGAAAGCGCCTTCAATTGGGTCACTCAACCGGCCCCGCGTCCCCCATGCCATTGGCGATTGATTCATAGAATCTTGTTCCCACAGCCCCGCCTTTGCCCTTCTCAGGAGAGCGTCTGTCAGAAGAATGCCTGGCCGGTTTTCCAATGGCTCACATGGCCAGAAGGACCCTCTGCAAACAGCTCCCTTCGTTTAGAGAGAATGCAGGAAACCCAAAAGGGTGGAAAGGCAAGCAAGTAAGTCTGGCAATGGAAACACTGCCAACACACGCGATGTCATCCTGTGCTTTCGTTTTCAGATCCTGAAGGCAACTCACGGTGGCGGCTTGTTGTCCTTCGCTAGCACACCGACGCGATGCGCAAGGACGCGATGCGCAAGGTTGGAGAGGGTTGCTATGAGGCAACCCCCCTTGCGGGCTGAGGCGGCTGTGGGTCAAAAATATGTACCCAAAGTGGAACCCTGGTACATGGAAAAATGGACTAAAATGCGCGGTCCCCCTGGTTTAACTTTCACCCATACCCAGGCGGAACGCCAGCAACAATTCTCGGAAAGCGTGGGCCCGGCGCCTGTCGTTGCTCCTGCCGCCTCTGGAGTCCTTGCTACGGCCTCTGGAGGCTCTGCTCCGGCTCCGTCGGCCTGAGTCCTGAGGCGGATGGAGGGCAAGAGTGAGTGGTCCCCCCCGCCCCGCTTCACGCCGAAACATTGCACATCTGACGGAAACAAAAGAGCCATCCACTTACGAGTCTGCGATATTCACACAAGTTCGGCACCCCAAGAATGGCAGTGTTCATGTTAGTTTTCCTTTACAGCCATCCCAACAAACAGCACCCTAACAACACACACACACACACTGTTCAGAACATGCCCGAGACCAAGCACATCGGCTGGATCCGTCTGCGTGCAAGCGTCGCTTCTTCTGTCTTGACGCCTCGCAAGTCGTGCACTTGGCACCAGGGTTGGTTGACGGCCTTGCTTAAGAAACCACACTTTGGCCATACTGGTTCAAAACATGTTCACAGTAAACAAATAGCTGGCTCGACCCGTGGCATGCAGAATCAAACATCGCTGAGGCGTGTTGTGTCACTTCCAGTCCATGTTCGTCCCTTGGGCTACTGGCGGGAGGGAACGAGGTTTTTACTGGCGCCTGCAGCGACATCTGAAAGTCTCATCCCGTATCGCCCATCAACTGTTGGGCATATGTATGTTTATATTATATATATATAGTGTGTGTGGTTTTGAGTATATATATTGCGGTTTTGGGCGAACACGAAGTAGCCCAGGGAAGCAAATGAGCACAAGGTAGATCACAAAGTGCCCACAGCACCCGGA